TTGTTCAGACCATTGTCTCTTCTCTCGGTACATCTGCTCTCTGAGAAAGCTCACCTACACATGGTGTCCAGTAGCCCCTACATGTGAGAAAGCCCTGTTCTCTAGAGCCAGCCTGTATTTTTAGTGTTAGCTGGCTTTACTTCCTTTGATATCCCATGTATGCCTCAAATGTGGTAAGCTCACAGCAAAATTCATCCACATCCTGCCTCGAACCTTCTTCTCTGAACCCCCTGGGTTGGTGACTGACACCAAAGTCATAAACTTGGACTTTATCCCTGACCCCCATAGCTCCCTAGTCTTACTCTTTCTGCACATTAAATCAACCACTTAATCCTTCTGCCTTAACATCTCTGAGTCATCTGGCCTCTCTGGGATACTCAGTGTCATAACTAATTCTGTCTTTATTTAAAATTTTGCTATTTTTTTCATCATGGATTTTTTTTTGGCATAAATTTTGATTTTTTAAAAAATATTGCATTAAAATATCATCTTGATAACTGGCAATTTTGTCAACCTCTAGAAATTTTTCTTATACACACACACACGTTTTAAAAAAATCTGTAAGTACTGTCTCTTATCTCTGACCTCTCCTTTATCTTGCCAATTTCAGAATCCATGTGCTTCTAAGGTGGGCCCAGCCCTGCTTCTTTTGTGGGGCACTTGGGCTCTGTGCAGTTTTCAGTTTTTGCCATTTTTAAAATTTTTTTCCCTTTTTTTTTTTGCCTTTTTCCCTTTATTTCCTTTTCTTTTACCTAACCTTCTCACCTTGCTTCTCAGCTTCCACACACTGACTGTCTAGACAGATCTAGCTGCAAAGTAGAGAAACAACTGAGTGCTTTTAGGGTCATAGGAAACCTCAATCCTCACTAAACTGCTACAGAAAGAAACTCATCTTCATAAATCTGAATTCAAATCTCTTTCTGTGAATACCATGTTGTAAAATGCTGTAGTAGAAGAGAAATTGGCACAGACGTATCTCATAGTAAAGTGGAGTAGAAATCTCCAACAAATAAACCAAATGTGAATATGCCACCAAATGACTAAAATTTAGAGAAGAGGGACTGCAAAGTGAGTAGCAGGGGAAAATACAGAGCTTCAGAGAACACGGCTCATCTCCTCCCACAGACTTCTGAACTCTTAGTTGAAACTCCACATCTCAGCCCATGTGCACCTGTTCTTCAGAAACTGGAAGGCCTTTATAATTTCCAGTTCCATCGACAAACATGCAGGTTGCTTGGTGAAGATCAGGAAAATGAAACTGCAGAGATATTGCAGATCATCTCCTCTCGCATGCCTCCAACACTCAGAATTAACTCCAAGAAAGTAGGAAGAAACATATAATCCATCAGATGACAAGAAACCATCACAGAGGCGCAAGAAATATGGGAAGCAAAAAAATATATATATCTCCCCCAAGGGAAAAGAACAGCCCTTAATCATCTACTGACAGTACAATGGAACTTGTGGAAGTGTCAGATAAAGAATTTAGAATATTCATAGTGACAAAGCTAACAAAGATACAAGAGAAGAGAGACAATGAACTCCAGAAGATTCAGGAGAAAAGAGACAATGTGTTTCACAAGGTGAGGAAGTTCTTGCACAATCTGAAAGAGGAAATACACACCATTAAAAAAAAGAATCAAATAGAACTGTTAAGAGATGAAGGCTGTAATACAGGAAATCAAAACCTCTCTGGAAAGTATTAGAAGCAGATTAGATCACGCAGAAGATTGAATCTCAGAAGTGGAAGACAAAACTTCTGACCTAGAAAAAATCACGAAAAAGATAGAAAATAATCCCCCCAAATGAGAATAATATACAAGTAATACTAGATACCATTAGACGCCCAAACATCTGGATCATTGGTATCCCAGAAGGTGAAGAAACTAATCAGGGCATTGATAATCTATTCCATAAAATCCTTGAAGAAAACTTTCAAACCTAGAGAGGCATTCAAATATCCAAACCCAGGACTACCAGTTGGCGTAATGGCTATGTTGCTGGACTCCCATGTAGTCGACTGCAGTTTAAGTCCCGGACCCGGTGGCTTAAAACTCACACCGGGCACATGTGTGTGCATGCCCAAGATCCTGAGAGACAAATGGAGGAGAAGGGATTGGGGCATGGCCATCCCCCCTGGAGGGTGATTTCTTGCTTTCTGTGTCTCTGTCTCTCTCTGTCTGGTGAGCGCATGTGCCCTATAGCAAAAACCTCTCTTAAAAAAAAAAAACATAAACATATCCAGACCCAAGAAATACAAAGGGCCCCACATAGAATCAACCCAAGAAGATCTTCTCCAAGGCACATCATAGCCAGATTGACCAAAACTACAGTGACAAGATACTAAAATTGGCAAGAGAGGAACATCAAGTTACTTTCAAAGGATATCCCATCAGGCTAATGTCGGACCTCTCTTTGGACACAATGCGAGCAAGGAAAAGAGTGGGAAAATATATCCAAAGTGTTACGTGAAAAACAATTTCAGACAAGAATACTATATCTAGCAAGATTAACCTTCATGCATGGAGGAAAAAAGCCTGAAACATTCTCAGATTAAAAAAAAAAAAAAAAACAAAAAAAACTAAAAGAATTTACCAACACCAGACCAGCTCTTCGAGAAGTTATGAAGGGAGCGCTATCCCAGGAAAACTAAAGACAGACAGACAGAAGTAAGAGAACAAAAAATGGGTACCAGAGTTAGTGTAATGGCTATGTTGCTGGACTCCCATGTAGTCGACTGC